CCATGGCGTCAGCGCCCCCGCCCCCCCCCCATCCCCCGAATCCCCCCTCCTGGGCCTGAATGGCGTCAGCCATGGCGTCAGTCAGCCATGGCGTCAGCGAAGCTTGAGCGAGCTCCCTCCCCCCTCCCAGGCCTGATGGCGTCAGCCCCCCCCCCCCCGAATCCCCTCCCGGGCCTGAATGGCGTCAGCCATGGCGTCAGGTCCCCCCCCCCCTCGCCCCTCCCGGGCCTGAATGGCGTCAGCCATGGCGTGAGCTCTTTCCCCCCCGACAGAGCAAAGTTTGAGCGAGCTCCACGCTCCCTTCCCCCCTCCCGGGCCTGAATGGTGTCAGCTATGGCGTCAGGCCCCCCCCCCCGACTCCCTCCTCCCGGTCCTGAATATCCCCCCCTTCTGCCTCCTGGGCCTGAATGGCGTCAGCTATGGCGTCAGCCACCTCCCCCCCCGACAGAGCGAAGCGTCCTGTAGCTCAACGTAGTCGGGCTGCTCGTAAGTTGCCGGTGATGGAATGTGTCTGTGGGACTTGTCCACAATCGATGTAGCCCACGGTGGATATAGCGCTGCTGCGCCTGATGTATGAAGTACGTGTGCCAGTAGGTCAGTGAACGAAAGTAGCTCGGACCCTGTGACGATGCTGTTCTCTGATTTGGTCATGGGGCTGAGGAACGTGTTGGTGACGCTGGATTGGTACCTGGCGTGGAGCCCATTGTTTTCGTCGACGGAGAACTCGTAGCGCTCCTCGTGCTGCTGGTAGTATTTGTTTCAAACCGTCTCAAGTAGGTCTTGTTCAGTACCTTCATTGTTGTAATGGGGTTGTCTCAGACGTATTTTGTTGTGGTCAATGTCGTCGTTGGGCTTGCCCCATGACTGGTCGATGATGACTTCACGACGTATGTCGCGGTCGGTAGCGTCACTCAGTATGAAGGGTTGCCCGTCTCGTCGGTAGTCGGCGCATTTGTAGAATGGAAGTAAATGTGGCCTCTCCGCCCAGTGACTGTGGATGTTGGTGTGGGCGCTCGTGTGTATCCATTGCTGTAGTGTTGTGTCCATACTGGATCAAAGTAATTGGAAGAAGATCTGGTTAATGTCGGGCAAGTAAGCCACTTTGACGTGGCTCTCTTGTACAGTGTGTGCCCAACATCTCTTGGCTGGGATCGGGATACACTCGCACCCGAGGTGTAGTGATGCGTACACGGGAAAACTTGTCGAGGTTGGCGTTGTCGACCTCGTCTTGTTTGTTGTTCTGTACTCGAGCCCTGAGAATATGAGCTGAGCTTGGGTCGTGTTCGTTTGGAGTTGCTGTGCGTTGTAGTGGTGGGAAGGTTGGTCGTCCTCGTAGATTGAGTAGTGGTGGTAGGTCGTCATTGCCTTCGTCCTCGTACTGGTTGGATGTTGTACGGTATTGCTGTTCAAGTTGTATAGTATGTTATTTGGTGAATTGGTCTTGTCATTTCCCATTGCAGGTCATGTAAATGTCTGTCGTTGGTGCGTGGATGAAGCGTGGTGAGGTCGACCAATCTGTTGTGTGCACTGCGAATGTGTCCTCTGATGTGGCCTTGTAAGAAGTACGGACTACGTCATGTTGCATGGCAAGTAAAGTATGTAAGGCGACTATGAGCGGTGCAGGTAAGGACACCGCTTAGCTTAAGCCTAGTTGTTGCGGCTATGAGTCGCTCGTAAGTGTCGGAGGATTGCATGCTGCCCCATGTGTGATGTGATACAGAGGCCGATCTATTGGTAGGTAGAGGCGCTCGAGCGTGTGACGTCTGTGGTGACAATAGTTGAAGAGCGCTGCATAGTGAAAATGCCCTTGAAGGTTCTCCCTGAGGTGTGCCTAGTCGGCTCCCGTACCAGGAATGAAGCGTGCTGCATACACTATAAAGGTCAAGATTGGCGTAACAGGTTATCCGCCACTGTGGCCTCTCCCTGAGGTATGCCCCTGTGGGCTCCCTTAATAGGTATGCCCCTGCGGGCAGCCTGCAGCTCGGAGACGCCAGCCTGCGCGCGGACGACGTGATCAGAGCGAGGGCCCTCAGCACCGCGCTTGCACTAAGGCACCGGGCTTCCGTCCCCCTCGTCCCTTTTCCTCCTTCTCCTCCTCCTTCTCCTCCTCCTCCTCCTTCTCCTTCTCCTCCTCTTCCTCCTCCTCCTCCTCCTCCTCCTCCTCCTCCTCCTCCCCGTCCTCCCCCCTCCACATCATCCTCCCTCCTCATCCTCCTCCTACTTATCATCATCATCATCATCATCATCATCATCATCATCATCATCATCATCATCATCATCATCATCATCATCATCATCATCATCATCAGCATCAGCATCAGCATCATCATCATCATCGTCGTCGTCGTCGTCGTCATCGTCATCGTCATCGTCATCGTCATCACCATCACCATCACCATCGCCATCACCATCACCATTACCATCACCCTCGCCGTTGTCGTCGCCTTCGTCGTCGTCATCATCATCACCAACATTAGCAATATCATCAGCAGCATCATCATCGTCGTCATCGTCGTCATCATCATTGCCGTCGCCATCATCGTCAGCATCGTCATCATCAGCATCAGCATTGTCACCACCATCAGCATCAGCATAATCATCATCGTCATCATCATCGTCGTCATCATAATCGTAATCATCACCATCGTCGTCATAATCATCAGCATCATCAACATCATCATCATCGTCGTCGTCGTCATCGTCATCGTCATCATCATCATCATCAGCAGCAGCATCATCATCTCCCCCCATCCTCCTCAGCCTCCTCATCCCCCTGGCGACTCGAACGACCTCGCGCCAGAGAGTGGTTTGCCATTTTCGTCCTCTGACGCCTGCTTCCAGGGTCAAGGGACCGCCAAAAAAAGATTCTGGACGGAAAGCCAGTCCGAGGGAGCGAAAGCTCTAGGGGCCAGTGACTCGAACAATCAAGTGGGTGGAGGTCTGGGCCTTCCCTCCTTCTCAAGGTCGACAAGCATGGCTGAGTGTAGCTGATGCGGTGTGTCGATCAGCTTTGTCTTCTGCCGACCCAAGCGAAAGTTTCGACCGTAGTTGCCTGGCGTCGCGCTTCTACCCAAACGGCAGCATGTCTAAATGCCGTTCGATTGGAGGTTTGCGGCAGCGGCAACTCCCAGGTAGCGCCGAGCTGGAGCAAGCTCCAGAGATGACGGTCTCATTGGTAAGTCATTGCAGCTTCGTGCAGGTGCGGCAGACATGTAATGGAGAAGGGGCGGGGAGAGGAGGAGGGAGGAGGTTGCCGACGAGCGTGTTGAGAGGCTTGCGCTCGCCTGCCGGGATAGGGAGGTTGCGGACGTGAGCAGTAGACGTCTACGATTGCCCAGTCGCTCAATCGCGCGAACCTCCAACGCGATTGGGGGGGGGGGGGGGCGGGCGCCTGTATGAGCGGGGGAGCTCTTGGGGGGAGGGAAGCACGGAGCCGATCTGGGCACCATTTTCCACACGAGCGGCAAATATCACACAGGAGCTCGGCCCACACACACACACACACACACACACACACACACACACACACACACACACACACACACACCATTCACGCCCCACCCCCAACAAGAAAACGCATGACATGTTGGGCTCGATGTGTTGGGGGGGCGGGGCGGGCTACTCATCCTCCTCCTCCTCCTCCTCCTCCTCCTCCTCCTCCTCCTCCTCCTCCTCCTCCTCCTCCTCCTCCTGCTCCTCCTCCTGCTCCTCCTCCTCTCCTTCCTCATCCGCCATCCCTCTTATTTAGAGATAACGCCTCCCCGCCCGACCACCAGACGTGTCGGTAGGGCGGGCTGGGCGACTTTCTTCAGGCGCCCTCCCCGTGTATGACCCGAAGATTGCAATATCCAACAGTTGCACGGATGGGGGGGGCGTCAAAATTGGTTCCTCATTTTAGCCCCGCGCGCGTTCGTCGGGGCGGGTCAAAATGTGGTTGTCGCCCTAGCGCCGCGCGCCTTCGTCGTAAAAGCTTCAAGCAGTTAACACGGGCGGAGGGCGGCCGTTTTCAGAGTGTGGTTCTCACATCGGCGCCGCATGCATTCGTCGCAGAAGTCATCAACAGGTACACAGCTGGAGGGCGCTGTGTTTAAATATGTGGCTCCCGCCTTAGCGCCACGGATATGAACCGTAGAAATGTGCACGGTTATCGTTTTAGCGCCACGCACGTTGGTCTTGACAGCTACACGGGTGGAGGGAGCCGTGCGCAGTCATTCGTCTTCAAAGTGTCCAGCGTTTACACGGATGGAGGGCGGTTCCTTGTCAGAATGTGGTTTTCGTTCTAGTACCGCGCGCTACACGGATGGAGGGCGGCTCCAGGTCAAAATGTGTCTCTCGCTCTGGTGCCGCGGACACCAATCTTAGAATTTCCCAGCAGCTACACTGATGGAGACCTGGCCCTTGTCATGCTAAATGTTTCTGTGTGAGAACCCTTCATTCATTCTGACCAGACGATTGTACCCGTGCAGCAGCTATGCGGATGGAGGGCGGTGCCCTTTAAAGACGGGGTTCCCGGTTGAGACGTTCCCAGGTTTTATGACGAAGGCGCCGTCTGAACAGCAGAAGCCGTTGATGACAGATCCATTATACTTGCAGGACGACGAACGCTCGTATTCCAAAGGGGCACTTCCCCCAACGGAAAGGAATTAGTGTAGAGGCGTATGAGGGGACCTGGGACGGGCGAGCGTATTACAGCATCGTGGACTGTTGACGCATTTTGGACGTACTATAGTCCTCCTCCTCTTCCTCCTCCTCTCCTCCTCCCTCCTCATCCTCCTCCTCCTCCTCCTCCTCCTCCTCCCTCCTCCTCCTCCTCCTCCTCCTCCTCCTCCTCCTCCTCCTCCTCCTCCTCCTTCCTCCTCCCCCTCCCGCCAGCCTCCTCTCCCGCCTCCCTACCCTCTTCCCTGGAACCTTCTTTCCCCCTCCATGCGCCCCCCAGCCCCCCCCCCCCCATTCCACCACTCGCCCCGCCAACCCGCTGCAGGGCCCCGGCGCGCCCGCAGGAGGCGAAAGCGATCCGCGAGAGTTTGCTGAGCTTGAGGCAGAGGCTCGAAGGCCTGCCGAGCGACGCAGGCGTGCGCGTGCCCCCCCCCCATCTGGGAGGCACGGTGCAGGGGCCAGCGGCAGTGGCGGTGTCGTCGGCGACAGCGACGGCGACGGCGTAGATTGCGGAGGAGGAGGAGGAGGAGGAGGAGAAGGAGGAGGACCAGTGTAAACCCAAGACTCAGGGACAAGAGAATTTTCTTCCCTGCGGCAAACATGACCGCCATGGACCCCCCAAACGTTCTGAACCCAAGAAACCCCAGGAATCACAAGCATCCCAAAAACATAACAGGGCTTCTGGGAGTAGAACACCTGAAATTCCAAGCATCCCAGTGAGATATAAGGGTTCGGGCTCCCCTGACGTCGCGAACCCAGTGAATTCATTGGGACGCTTGGGATTCGGATCCCTGGGGTGGTCCAGGGCCGCTTGGTGTCAGAGGGAGAAAAACCCCAGGAATCCCTGGTATCCCAACCCAGTGAGATGACCTGGTCTGAACTTCCCTGACGTTGCGAACCTTTTGAATTCAATGTGACGATTGGGATGCGGATCCCTGGGGGAGGGGTGAATACAGGGTAGCTCTTTATCGCAGGGCGGGGGGTGGGGGGGGGGGGGGGGGGGAAATCCCGGGAATCCCAAGCATTCCAATGAAAGAACAGGGCGCTTGGGAGTAGCACCCCACCCCAGAAATCGAAAGCATCCCAGTGAAATAATAGGATGTGGTGGCTCCGCGTGTCTGCAGGATGGCTCACAAGTCGTGGGCTGTCTCTGCTGGGAAATCCGCCGTTTAAATCTTCCGCATTACGCTGGTGTTGGGCGTTGGCCAGCCGAGCAGCCACAGCACGCTTGCCGGTGGAATCGACAAATTCTCCAGCAGACGTCAGGGATGGGGAAGGAATGGGAAGGGAAGGAAGGAAAGGAAAAGGGTATTACAACATGCCCAGGAGAAAGAATGCGATGAATGGGTGCTGGGGGGGCTGTCTGTATGAATATAAATATGTATATTGGCCGATGAGTTAAATGATTGATGTATTCATGAGCATATGTATATATATATATATATACTAGAACCACGCGCGCGCTTCGCGCGCGCTTAGGTTCTAGCTAGGAGGCGAGCTTGAGTCAACGAAAGTCGCAGGGAAGGGGGCAGGGGGAAGAAGGCCAGAGAGCGCTGAAGGATACAAATACTGGAACCCTCTTGTGATTTTGTGGGGGGCCTCGTCCGGCCGCTCGCTGGGAGTTTGACGTAGCTTCTCGGGAGCCTCTGAACCTGTCGGGGGCCTCCTGGAAGCAGGTTCGAAGCATTTTGGGGGCCGATTTGGGGCTTCTCGGGGCCTCCTTTGGGCCTCTTGGGGGTCTCCTGGGGCCTCTTGAGGGGCCTCCTTGGGGCCTCCTGGCGGCCTCTTGGGGCGGAAGGCTCGAGCTTGCGGTTCGTGGTCCCCCTCTGGGCCCCCTCTTCTTGGGCCCGTCTTGGGGCCCTCTTGGGCCATCTTGGGCGCCTCTTGGGCCGTCTTGGGGCCCTCTTGGGCTGTCCTGGGGCCCTCTTGGAAGCTTCTTGGGCCGTCTTGGGGCGGTCTTGGACGCTTCTTGGGCCGTATTGGACGCGGTCAAAGCCCAAGAGGCGAACATGCAAAAAATATACGTTTTCCCATAAGAATGGCACGATTTTTGCTTCTTGGGCCTCTCTTGGGCTGCCTCTCGGAGCGTCTTGGAGGCTTCTGGGACCTTCTCGGTGTCATGACAGGCGTCTTGGAAGGCATCTGGAGCCATCGGAGCGCGTTCCGAAGCCGCCTGCGAACGATCTTGGACGGCGTCCGGCGGTCCGACGAGCCTCCGGGCCCCCCGGAGCCCACATTTGTGGTCGGGGTCCCGGCCCCGGGCCCCCGGACCCGGTTCGCCGTTATATGTGTATATATATATATATATATATATATATATATATATATATATATCCTTGGGCACGAGGCCGGGGGGCCCGGGAGGGGGCCCTCGACAGCGCATGGGGGATTTGGCCGCCAGGGACGCCCCAGGTGGCCCAAGACAGCCCAGAGACACATGAAAAGGCCTTCAAGAGGCCTCCAAGAGGCCCAAGAGTTGCCGAAATATCGTTCTAAGACGCCCAAGATGGCTTCAAGACGGCCCAGAATGCTTCCAACACGGCCCAAGGGGTCTCCAAGTGCACTCCCAAAAGGGCCCTGAGAGGTAAAAAGCATTGATTGTCCAAAGGCGTGTGATGGATTTTCGCGGTTCTGCCTTTTCGGCTTCCCGACGCTTCAAGACGGTCCTGGAGGCCCCGAATATCGCACCACCGTATGTATGTATGTCTGTTTGTCTGTCTGTCTGCTTGCCTGTCTGTCTGTCTGTATAGATGTATGTATGTGTATATGTGTATATATGTAAGTATGCATGCATGCATGCATGTTTGTATGTATGCATGCATGCATGTATGTATGTATGTATGTATGTATACACATATATATACACATATACATACATATATATATATAGGTATGTATGTATGTGTATATATATATACATATATATATATGTGTGTGTCCCTTCATTATAATTCTGCAACATAGGACCCTGCGATCCGCTCCTCTAAATGGGGCCCCGAGGATCCCTGGCCCCGGGGGCCCCCTGGACGCCTCTGCAGAAGGTTCCCCAGGATTTGGGGAGCTGGAAGCCCTTGCTGGGCCGAGGCAGCGGGCCCAAATCAGTCAGGAAGGCGGCCGAACAGCCCCCCAGGCGCCCCATGAGGCACCAAACACCCACTAGACGCCCGAAGACAACCCATCCCAAAGAACACTCCCAAGAGGCTTCCGAATTGCAGAAGAACATTGATTTCCAATGGTTGTTGCATGAGTTTGGAAATGCTCTGTTCTTCGGTTTTCCAGGCGTCCAAGACCGCCCAAGAGGCCCGACAATGGTGCCAAAACTATCCGACCAAAAGGGCTTCCAGGCAGTCCAAGAGATTCCCAAAACGGCCCCACAGGGCCCCAAGATGGCCCGAAGAGAGCCCCATGACGGCCCAAGATGGCCCCAAGACGACCCCGAAGCATTCCAGATCGTGACCTGGTCGTTCAGGGAGACCGCAGTAAGAAGCAGGGTGGCCCGAGGAAGCCCCCAGAGGCTCCCAGAAGGCGCCCAGGAGGCTTCCAGAAGGCCCCAAAAAGCCACGTAAAACTTTCGTGAGACCCCCGAGAAGCTCTCCAAGGAGAAGCTTCCACAAAAGAGCAGAGGAGGATGGGTAAACATTCGCAGAGGAGGGCGACAATGAGGAAGAGGAAGAGGAAGCATGAGGGACGGATAACGAATGGCATTATTATGACGACGATGTCGGACAAGGCAACGGCGAGTTATCGTTATTGTTTCTGCTTGTTCCTCTTGTCTTTCCGCCGCTACTTCTGGCTGCACGCCAAATTTCAAAGAACCAAGGTGCATGGTGCCAAGCGCCACTGCTGTTTCATATTAATGTATATACACAAATACATACATTTATACATACAAACATACATACATACATGCATACAGACCTACCTACCTACACACACATGCATGCAGACAGACATACCTATCTGCCTACCAACCTACCTGCCGACAGCCCTATATGTATATGTATAGATGTATATGTGTATGTATGTATGTATGTATGTATGTATGTATGTATGTATGTATGTATGTATGTATGTATGTATGTATGTATGTGTGTGTATGTATGTATGTATGTATGTATGTATGTATGTATGCATGTATGTATGTATGTATGTATGTATGTATGTATGTATACCTGCACGCATACATAGTACATACATACGTGCGTACATACAGACATGCGTACATACATACACACGTTCATGCATACTGATATGCATGCATGGATGCATGCATGCATGCATACACACATGCATACACACGTACAAACATACATACATGCATACATGCATGCATGCATGCATACATACATATATGCAGACAGGCAGACAGACAGACAGGCATACACACACGTAAGTACGTGAGTATGTACGTACCTACACGCATGCATGCATACATTCATACGTACACATACATACAGACAGACAGACAGACAGACCGACAGACAGACAGACGTGCATGCATGCATGCAGACGTACATGCATAAATATAAGCATACATACATCAGACAGACAGACAGAGACAGACAGAGACAGAAAGAGACGGACAGACAGACAGACAGACCGACGGAAGGACGGACGGACAGACAGACAAGCAGACAGACGGACGGACGGACAGACAAATAGACAGACAGACATTATTTGGCTAGTTCACTTGCATGGCATTTCCCCCCCCCCCACCGTTTTGTCACACAGCGCTGGGCCGAAAGGTCGTGCAAGTGGGTCCCGCCTTGCGTGAATTGCAGGTTTCCTCTCGGACCTTGCCACGGCCCCCCCTTCCCCTCCATGCAAAGAAAAGCGGCCACAACCCGCCCAGAGCGATGCTGCCAGGGGGCCATCCCCGCATGGCATTCCACTAGCTTTGTGCCAGGGGGGCCGCCGCCCGGGGCCCGGCCCACGAAACCCAATGCTGGCCAGCGCCCATGCAGGTCAAGCACCCACCGCGCAGCAGCCCGCCCAGAGCGGGGGCTCGACTGGACGTGACAGTGACCTTTCGCCGGAGTGATCTTTGGTGTGGGCCCAACGGAGCCCCCCGATCGTCGAACGCGAAGCGGTAGCTCTGGCTTGTGCGCCTGGGTTTGGCCACCCCGCGTCCCCCGTTAAGCCGCGCACCAAAGGTCATTTTCGCCTAGGGCCACTCTTCCGTGTAGCCGCGAAGGCTGCAGGGGGCGCATCCCTGAACGGTATTCCACCAGCTTCGTGTTGGGGGGCCGCTGGGTGACCTCCTCCTGGGGCGCCCCAGCCGGGTACCGCCTCTCTAGGCGTTGGGCGTCGCGCCATGACCGCTCAGCGCGCGCGTCGCCTCCCGAAGGGCAGGGCCTCGCGAAGCCAGCGTCGGGCGCCTCGCTCCAGACCCTCGGCCGCGGGGGGGGGGCGGGGGGCGCCGCGGGATAGGCGCCAGGGGGCCACCGTCGGCAGCATGTAAGAGCCCGCGCCAGGCCGCCCGGCCAGGCGGGTGCCCCGACTGAGCGGGCCGTGCGAAGGGCGCGGAAGGAAGGAAAGGATGAGGAGGTGGTAGAGGAGGAGGAGGAGGAGGAGGAGGAGGAGGAGGAGGAGGAGGAGGAGGAGGCGGAGGAGGGGGACCAGTGTGAACCCAAGAACATCAACGATGTTGGAATACATCCTCCTTCCAAGATCCCCCTTCATATGCCCCTACAGCGGTTCATTTCCATTGGGGGAAAGTGCCTCGTTGGAAGACAACCGCGTGAAGACCCTGAAGCATGCCAAAAAAAATGTGTTTCGGGATTTCAACGCCACGGATCCACCTGACTGTTGCGCCTTGACGACTCTGGGCCGTGCCAAAACGCCATTCTTCGGATCTCAACACCGCGAACCAATTTAATTGTTGCACCCGCAAGATCCAGAGTCTTTCCAAAACACCATTTTTGCTACGGTGACCATGGAAATCCGCGAAGTTCGTACAAAAGCTTACAAAATAATGTGCGCGGCGCCAAGGCGAGAGCCACATGTTGTTAAGGAACCGCGTTCAATCCGTGAAACGCTTGTAAACTGTAAACGAATGCGCGCGGCATTAAAGCGATACCCACGTTTTGAAAATGGGCGATCCTCAATCTGCAAAGCTCTTGCTAACTTTCAAAACGAATGCGCGCGGCGCTACGGCGAGAGCCACATTTTGAAAATTGGCTGTACTCAACCCGGGAAACTCTTACAAACTTTCCAAACGAATGCGCGAAGCGTTTGGGCGTAAGCCACATTTTGAAAAACAACCCGCCCTCCATCTGCGAAAATGTTCCCAATTTTAAATTTCAAGATCATAAATGGCGAAACGCCCAGCCCGCCCTAAACACTGGCCTCGGGGTGCGACAGGGAGAAATTATCAATAAGGAAAACGAATTGGAGAAAAGACGAGACAACCGAAGGCAATCCGAGGGTACATTGGCCTCCACATCGCGTTTTGCCGCAGCGCGCCCTGGCCGTCCTGAGTTTCAGGGCCCAAGGGTGCGGAGGGCCTTCTAGCAGCAGGCAGGGACCAGCATGGGCCCGGCACGGGCGCATCGGTGAGTCTCCATGGCGCTCGCCCGCTGGATGGCTCCTAGGACAGATCCATACACCCCTCGCGCCTCTTGGAGGATCAGGAGCAGCAGCAGCAGCAAGGGGCAAAGAAGGAAAAGGAGGAGAACAAAAACAGCGGCGAGGAGAGAATCGAATCCAGCATCGTGGCCCGCGCCTGGGCGGGAGCGACGGAAGCACTGCACCGATCCTGAAATTGCTACGTTATTGTTCCAATCAGCACGGCCACGATTGGAAAATAACGTAGGACATCTGGCGTGCGGCGAACCTCTGCCTCACAGACCACCCTTCCCGCGTATGCAATATATCATTCCGCTTTGTCGAATGTATGTATATGTACACGGACAATTGTTTACCTTACACATATCCATACTTAGTTAGTCACCGATGTGATTAAATCTGAACGCTCGCTTGATCCACCCATGCAACTACCAAACAAATTTTGAATGCTTTCATATACTACCTTGTTTATTCCGCATAAAGAGTAGTATGCATTGTAAGACATGCGAATCAGAAAGGCGCTGAGTTGCAGGCATGTATATATATATATAGAGAGAGAGAGAGAGACAGACACGTGCATGTATATGCAGATATACATATCCGAAAATAATATGTACATGGGTATGGTTACAAGAGTACCCACGCAATATACTTATCCGATATGTATGCAAGTGGACGTACATTCCGACATGTATTTTCAACTCGACAACCCACGAAACAGCCATGGAAAAAGTTGGCACAAACCACGGGACAATTCACCGTCCAGCCCCTCTGGCAACCGCGAGATTCGTGGGGATATGTTTGTTAGTCTGATCTGTCTTCACGACGACGACGATGACAACGAAGACGACAACAACGACGACGACAACGACGACAACGAGGACGTCGATGACGACGACGACGACGGCGACAACCACGACAACGGCGACGATGACGACGACGACGACGACGACGACGACGACGACACGACGACGGCGGCAACGACGACTTTCCGACGATGACGACGACGACGACGACGACGACGACCCCGACGACGACCCCGACGACGACCCCGACGACGACCCCGACGACGACGACGACAACAGCGACGACGACGACCACGACGACGACGACGACGACGACGACGACGACGACGACGACGACGACAACGACGACGACGACGACGACGACGACGACGACGACGACGACGACGACGAAGACGACGGCGGCGGCGGCGGCGGCGGCGGCGGCAACGACGACGACTGCGGCGGCTACGACGGCCGCGCCGCCCGCGTCGAGGTCCCCGGCTGGACCGGCTCGACGATTCGGCGCCGATGGGGCGGTTTAAGCCCGTGCGGTACCGTCGTCGTCGTCGTCGGGGTTGTCGTCCTCGTCGTCGTCGGAGTTGGCGTCGTCGTAGTCGTCGTCGTCGTCGTCTTTGTCCTCCTCGTCCTCGTCGTCCTCGTCGTCGTCGTCGAGATCGGCGGCATCGTCGTCATCGTCGTCGTCGTCGTTGTCGCCGTCCTCGTCGCGGGGCTCGTCGGGGAGTGAAGAGGGAGGAAAATAAGGAAGGCGGTAAGAAAAAGAACGGGGGAGGACGAGGACGACGGAGCGGATCCTCCTCCTCTCGTCCTCCACCTTGTCATTTGTATTCATCCTGCTCGACACTCCTTCTTCCCGTCCTGACGGACATGGGCAGGAGAGGAAGCATAGGAGGAGGAGGAGGAGAAAAAGAAGAAGAAGAAGAAGAAGGAAGCGGAGGAGGAGAAGGAGGACGACGAGGAGGACGAGGACAAGGAGGTGGGCAAGGAGGGGGAGCAGCAGCAGCAGGGGGTGGAGGCGGAGCAGCGCGAGGAGGAGGACCAGGAGGACGAAGACGAGGAGGAGGAGGAGGAGGAGGAGGAGGAGGAGGAGGACAGGAGGAGGAGGGGGAAGAGCAGGCGGAGCAGCACGAGGAAGTTGGAGAAGAGGTCGGGAAAGGTCAGAGCGCGTCTGCACAGCCCAGCGGACAAAGTGAACCACGCTCGGGCCCAACCACCTGCGCCAAGGGGCGGCCCCTCGCCGCCAGGATGCCCCGTGAGCCCCCATTTCGGAGCCCCCCCCACTTCATTCCCCTGCCCACCGCACTCGACGACGAAAAAACTGCATGAGCAGAAAATGTCAGAGGTCCGCGCGGGGTTCTTGGATCTTCGCTGCGCCCCCCTCCCCTTGTGGTGCCGCTGGCGCAAGGGGGGTCCAGCGCCGATCCAAGAAATCCGTCCGGACCGGAAGTTTGTGTTTATGTCGGGGTTTCTCCTTCTGTGCTCCCCCCCCCTTTCCCTCCTCCTCCTCCTCCTCCTCCTCCTCCTCCTTCTCCTCTTCCTCCTCCTTCTCTCCCTCCTCCTCCACTTCTTCCCCAGACATCCGACGATGTGACTCGTTCAATCCGCGGCCCCAGAGGTCCCGAAGGTGCTTCTTCTTCGTCCCGGATCCATGTTTGACTGTCCTGGGGCCCAGTGGCAGACCTTGGAGGCCGAAAATATCATATCAGGAAACAATATACACATAATAATATAAAAAAGGCAGGGTTGAAAAAACAGATTGCCGCCGCCTGCCGACCGGGCCACCTGCCGACCGCGCTGCGGCGGCGAGCGAGCGTCCTCCAGCGCGAGAGCGGGACGAGCCTTGCTCGAGCTCCCGACGCCCACCTTGCAACGAGCCGCCGCTGGGCGGCACCCCTGCGGGCAAGAGCCTTACCGGGCGGCTGGATGCACACACGGGCGTTGGCCGAAGTACGACGATGATGATGATGATGATGATGATGATGATGATGATGATGATGATGATGATGATGATGATGATGATGATGATGATGATGATGATGATGATGGCGATGGCGATGGCGATGGCGATGACGATGAGGATGATGATGATGATGATGATGATGGTGATGATGATGATGTTGATGATGCTGATGTTGTTGCTGATGATGATGACGACGACGACGATGATGATGGTGGTGATTGTGATGATGATTGATGTGATGATGATGATGATGATGATGATGATGATGATGATGATGATGATGATGATGATGATGATGATGATGATGATGATGATGATGATGATGATGATGATGATGATGATGATGATGATGATGATGATGATGATGATGATGATGATGATGATGATGATGATGATGATGATGATGATGATGAGATGATGACGAGATGATGACGAGATGGTGACGACGACGACGACGATGATAACAATGACGTTGATGCGAATAACCAGGGAAGTTGGAGGAGGATGACGACGACGAGAAGGTGAACTTTGCCAACAATGGCCTATCACGCATCTTTGATGGTGGGGGCTTTCGTTGAAGAAGGTGCCCAGGAGGCTTCGGACCCTGGGGGGGTCCTCATCAGGGCGGCGGTGAGATCCGCGGCCACAGCACGACTGGAGGTCCACCAGCTTCCCGGGTTCCTCATCCAGTGGTTCCTTACCCAGTGCCCCGTATCGGCGGATGACAAATTGGCCTGTCGCGGTCAGCGTTTCGGGGAAACGCGCAGTGTTCGACTAGATCTGCGGCTCATGGAGAGGCCCCAGACCCTCGCGTTCTCCGCCCTCGCCCCTGCGAACGGCGCCGCCGTAGAGAATCTCAGCCCGCGGGCACACGTGGCCAGGTGTCTTTCCAGCGCTCGGCCCTTCGAGGACCATGTGGGCCAGGCTTGCCCGTGTGCATGCAGCGCGCGGCCTCCGGATGCTCCACGCGTGCATCCAGGCGTGCGTGCTTCCGGTGTCCTGGTGTTCGTTTGGGTGTGCTGTCGCTGGGGTTCGCTCGAGCGGATTCTACGCGCGGAGCAAATTATGCACAGCAGCGACGACGACGGCAAAGATTGCAATAATCAATGGTTCCAGAGAGATTGAAAGAGAAATTTGTTTCTCACCACAACACCGACCCCCAGCTCTGACCGGGCCCCGGCCCACACGCCGCGCCCTTGTAGGGCCGTCCCCCCGTCGGGACGCACGCCAGCGCCTCGCCTCGCCTCGCCTCGCCTGGGGCGCTTTCAGCGAGTCGGGCTCCCAAGAATTTTAGAAGGCACGTCCCAGGGAGCGCCCCAACAACGGTCAGGGCTTGCAACGCCAGCGAGCCTTGGTGGACCGCCATCCCAAGGAAGCCAAACTCGCACATCATCTTCAAAGCCCCCATCCCCCTTTGCACCTGTCGCAAGAGAGCCGGCCGGGTCGAGCATTTCTGCATAGCGCGTCGGGCTCCAGAGATCGAGGTGTCATTGAATATCCGTTTTGGCCCCGCTTCCGCCTCGGGGGGGATCATGAAGAGCAGAAGCAGCAGGGCGAGGAGCAGGGGGATCCGTGCCTTGGCCCAGGCTCGGTCCGCACAGCTCTCGACTCTACCCCCGGGACGGTTTGGTTTCTCGCGGGTCGATGATGAATTGCACCAGGTCCGAGAACCCCAAGACGCCAGAATCGCAGAAATACGTGTGTGGGGATGCTTGTTCGCGACGTTGGAAATCTATGAGCGGGAGGGCGACAACGGCCCTCCGGAAAGCCCGTGCATGGTATAATCTTCCTCCACCTCATCTTGATGGTTTTCCTACTCCTCCTTCTCCATCCGCCCCCCTTGCCTCCTTTCCTTCCCCTCCCCCGTTCCATACTTCACATTGTCCTCCCCCACGCTGTGCAATGAACTCCTCCCCGTCGCACCACAAGACGTGTCGGCAGGCCCGCCTAAGCGCTTCGTCGGAGGCGCTTTCGCAACGCATGATCCGAACACTTGGCATCTCCAACAGCTACATGGATGGAGCCCAGGCCGTTTTCACCATCTGACGTTCATTTTAGCCCAACGAACATTCGCGCGAATAGTCTCCAACAGCAGTAACGGTTGAAGCAGCGGGTGGTGTTCAAGGTATCGTTCTCGCCTCAGCGTTACGCACGTTCGCCTCAAAATTTTCGGCTGCCACACGGATACAGGGCGGCAGTTGCTCCAAATGTTATTATCGCAATGGCCACCGAGGTTTGAATGATAAGTTGCTGCTCAGACGAAGGGGAGCTCTTTTCACAGTCTGGCTCGCCCCAGAGCCTGCCGTACGCTGTAGGATCGTAAAGTTGCGCGTCACGAACAAAATTTGCATGTGCTGAACAAGGGATTCTCTTTGCAGCGTCACGCTGCCGAATTATAATCTGCATCTGTGCGGCATGGCGGGCGTGGGCGCATGGGTAGTGTCGACCATCGGGGAATATTTCAGCGTATATCCCGCCCCCGGCGTGGGGGGGGGGGGGCTGAAATGCGGACAGCCACATGTCCATCACCAACAGAGTGAGACGACGCCTGCATCTTACGCACTTTGACAAATACACCCTGCAGGTCCCCTGTCTCAAAGCTCGCGAGGGTTTTCTGAACCCGAACGTAGGGAGCGCCAGACGACATTGTACGACAAAATGCACCAGCACAGCCGTTTGCAGCAAAGTCGCTAGCCAAATGGGGACGACACCACAGAGGGACATTGCCATCGACCCCCCATTGTGGGGAAAGAGCGCACTTCACGTGCGCTCGGGCAGGCCGGGTGGTACAGGGGGAAGGGGGGAGGGGGGGAGGGGATGCTGCATGATTATTTTTGACAGCTGCGGCTGTCAAAAATAGCGCGACGACGACGTGCGCCCCTTCCGCCGCCGTTGTTCCCCGCCGCCGCGGGGCCGCTCCGCGGCCGCTCTCTCGGAGCGGTCCTGACCGCCGATCGGCGGCCTCTACGCAGCAAAATGCCGCAAAAGCTCGAAAACCGCCGCCCCGCTTTGTGGAGGCACCCCAGCCGTCGATGCTCCAACCTGCTTTAGCCTTGACCTCTTGACAGTCCATCAAAGGGCGACCCCCTTATCGCCCATTGATCGCCCAACTGGGAGAACACAGAGCGCAAGACGCAACGGTCGCATCGCATTCCGCAATCGGGGGATCCCCAGAGGGCCCACTCCAAGGGTCACGCTGGCGAAAGGCCACTCTTACATCTAGCCGATTATTAGAAGGCGGCGGAGCTTCTCAGAAGCCCTGCGGCCTTCCGAGAAGCCGCCTGCAATTGCGGGGAAGGCTTGGAGAATTATTCAGACGGCCGGAGGCCTTGGCCCGATAGCCCGCCCCACCCAGGAGCGTTCGGACTTGCCAATGGGAGCCTATCTCGCCGACCGGTCGGCCATGCATCGCAGAGTCCAGCTCGCGATGCCTCCCCCCGGAGCCGCTCCGTCCCCCTTCGTGTGCAGGTGGCGCCCGCCCTCCAGGGGCGAAGGAGGGGGCGGAGGAGGAGGGAAGGGAGGCGAAGGAGAAGGGAAAAAGGAG